TGCTCCTGAACCACCTCAAGTTCAACTTTGGAGGTCTAATAGGCAGAGGAAACCATCTAACGGGTATCCTTCTGATGACTATGTTACCTTGACAGATGAAGGAGAACCTGAGTGTTTTAATGAGGCCATGGAGAGTGATGAAAAGAAGAAGTGGCTGGATGCTATGCAAGATGAAATGAAGTCTTTGCATGATAATCACACTTTTGATTTGGTGAAATTTCCTAAGGGCAAGAAGGCTTTGGAAAATAGGTGGATTTACAGGGTAAAGCAAGAAAGCAATTATACATCTCCAAGATATAAAGCCAGATTGGTGGTGAAAGGTTTCAGACAAAGAAAGGGTGTTGATTTCAATGAGATTTTTCTCCTGTGGTGAAGATGTCATCCATAAGAACCGTGTTGGGTTTGGCTGCTACTCTTGATCTAGAGGTAGAGCAAATGGATGTAAAAACTGCTTTCCTTCATGGTGATTTGGAGGAAGAGATTTACATGAAGCAACCTGATGGTTTTCTTGTTAAAGGCAAGGAAGAATATGTGTGCAGATTGAGAAAGAGCCTATATGGCTTGAAGCAAGCCCCACGTCAGTGGTACAAGAAGTTTGAGTTTGTTATGTGTGAGCAAGGCTACAAGAAGACTACTTCTGATCACTGTGTTTTTGTTAAAAAGTTTGCTGATGATAATTTCATTATCCTGTTATTGTATGTTGATGACATGCTTATTGTTGGGAAAAATATTTCCATGATTGACAGGTTGAAGAAGCAATTGGGCGAGTCATTTTCCATGAAAGAAATGGGAGCTGCTAATCAGATTCTTGGTATAAGAATCATGCATGACAGGAACAAGAAGAAACTTTGGCTGTCACAGGAACACTATGTTAAAAGGGTGCTTCAGAGGTTCCAGATGGAAAATGCTAAGGCTGTAAGTACTCCTCTTGCTGCTCATTTCAAATTGAGTGTTAATCAGAGTCCTTCCAATGAAGCTGAAAAATTAGATATGCAACAGGTTCCTTATGCATCTACTGTGGGGAGTTTGATGTATGCAATGGTGTGTACAAGACCTGATATTGCACATGTTGTTGGTACAGTCAGTAGATTTCTGTCTAATCCAGGTAGAGAGCATTGGAATGTTGTGAAATGGATTTTGAGGTATCTTCATGGTACTACCAGTTTGAGGCTTTGTTTTGGAGGTGATATACCTACTCTCGTGGGCTATACTGATTCTGATATGGCTGGAGACATTGATTTCAGAAAGTCTACTTCAGGCTACTTGATTAAGTTTGCAGGGGGAGCTGTGGCATGACAATCCAAATTGCAGAGATGTGTTGCATTATCCACTACTGAGGCATAGTTTATTGCCATTACAGAAGCATGCAAGGAGTTGATTTGGTTGAAGAAATTCTTGCAGGAGCTTGATTTTGTGCAGGACAAATACTTGCTATTTTGTGATAGTCAAGGTGCAATTCATCTTGGTAAAAATTCAACTTTTCATTCTAGGTCCAAGCACATTGATGTTAGGTATCATTGGATACGTGATGCTTTGGATGCTGGGTTGTTGGAATTGGCCAAGGTTTATACAAATGATAATGGTGCTGATATGATGACCAAGGCATTACCGAGAAGCAAGTTTGAAACTTGTTGTGAGATCGCCGGTTTGGCGGTCACCTCCACATAGTTGTGAGGGGGAGATATGTTGAGTTTTGGGCTCCCATCCTATGTGGAGAAAGGCCCAATATGTGAAAGCCCATGTGTCTCACTTATCTAAGTGGAGAGGGATCAATTAGGGTAAAGTGTGAGAGGTCTGATTTAGGCGAGAGAGGCAAGAGAAAAGTGAGAGAAGAGAAACAGATTTTCGCACATACTCATAGCAGCTGCACTAGAATCGCGATATCTCCTTCGTTCACCGTTCGATTTGGCCGAAATTTGAACTGCAGGTTCCTGACATCCGGTTCTTCAATCTGAACAGTGTGATCGGCGATCAGAGGTCTGAGGTGGGAGATATTAGCCACGCACAGTAGCAGCCCTTTGGAGTTTTCTGGTTCTTCTTTGTTCTCTATTTCATGTTTTGTTGCCTTGTTGTTTTGGCTGATTGTTGAGCACGATTTGTGCTACATTTGAGACTCTCTTGTACCCATACATTGATCATAGTGAAGCTTGTTTACTGGCTTGTTCCTGTGGTTGTTTTACTTCTCACTTTGAGAAGGTTTTTTCCATGTTAAAAATCTTGGTGTCTCTTTGTGTTATTGATTTTTAGTTGCTGCATTATTTGTTGTTGCTCCTCACAGATTCAACAAGTTGGGGAAATTATATCTGCTGTTGTTATATATATATATATATATATATATATATATATATATATATATATATATATATATATATATATATATATATATATATATATATATATATATATATATATATATATATATATATAAAATATTTGTTTTATTATATATTTTATAATATTAATTTTATTCATTTTTGTTATTTGGTAAATCTTTATTAGGTTAAATTATACTTTTCATATATTTTATTATGTTAAACTCATAAAATTAATCTCTCTATTTTATTTTTAAATAATTTTGATCTCTCATCTCTTGTTTTGGTTCAAAAAACATTAAAGTGTCAATTTTTATAATTTGTGACATTTTTTTATGATATGACACGAGATGTATTAGTTATTTATTTATCAAATTATTTTTGAAGTAAATTAAAACAAATTATAATTTGTATTAATATTTAAAATATTATTTTAATCAAACATTGTGTTTTTTTTTTTAATCGTGAGTGTGACTTCTTGTTTACCCTAACTTCTTCTTTACCCTAACTTCTTCCATTGTCTTTTTCATCTCTTAAATTCATCAGATTCAAGATGCTTCACTATAGCATGATCAAGAACACTTGTTCTCACACATATACTTTGAATCACATTACTTTGATCAAAATAATAATTTACTGATTTACTTACAAAATGATGAGGGTAATGAAAAACTAATAAATTTCATATCACATAAAAAATGTTACATATTTAAAAAACTTATTCATTCCCATTTTTTGGACAAAAATTGAGAATGTGATATCAAAATTGTTTAAAAACAAAATAGAAAATAAATTTTTTGAAACCACAAAATAAGAGAAACAAAACTATAATTTAATTTGTTAAATATTTTTTTTTATTAAAAACTATTTATTATTCTACATGTTTATCTTTGACACATTATAAAATGAAATTAATAATTAAAAAAAAATCAAATATAATTTTGTATTTCATTGGGTCTTTTAAAATTTACAATTTTTATAGAAATTTATATTTCTATTTATTGATTCAGTTTAAAATTAATTAAAATGTTAACTAGTTTTTGGCATTATTATCCTTTTATGTTTCAAGATAAAAAATATAAAATAAAATAATAAATAATTATAAATATATGTTTAAAATATGATAATCTTATCCAAAATAATAATGTAGTATTTCACATCTTTAATAATGTAAGAGCAGCTAAGCTAATAAATACTCCTTCTATCTTATAAAAATGTCATATTTGAGTAATGTATGGTCTAAAAAAAAAGATTAAAACTAATTATTTATTAAAATACTTTTATTAATTGTAATTAATATAATAATTGAATAAAATGAAAGTTAATACATAGAGATATAATAATAAAAAAATAAAAAAATAATATATAATATTATAAAAAAAACAATTATATTAAAATAAAAAAAATCCAAATGAGATATTTTTTATAAGAGAGAGCTAGTAACAAATTAAAAAGATATAAAAATGAATTATGGAAAGTAAAGCAAATGATTAACTAATAAGCATTTCATATCTTAAAATAGATTTTTATTTAAGTTAAGAAACTCTTAAAATGTGTTAGAGGATATGGTCAATGTTGTTTTGCTTAGATCGTGTTTCAAGTCCAAAGAAAAAAAACAGTTGAATTTCAACACCTAGATATCTATATTCTCTCTCTCTCTCTCTCTCTCTCTCTCTCTCTCTCTCTCTCTCTCTCTAGATTCTCATCAAACTCTACTTCTTCTCCCTCTTCACTACTTTCCTTTTCCATTCCTCTTCTCGTTCAGGTAACTTCAGTTCTTTCCTTTTCACTTTACTCTCACTACAACAATCTTAAACCTGCTTTTTTCAATCACGGGTTTCATTCAATCTTCATAAAGATTCAATCTTTATTCTTACTCTAACATAATCGTGAGTTTCAACCATTTGGGGTTTTTACTTGGGAGGGAACAAAATAGGATTCTTTTTGTTATTAATCATTGATCTGTTGTTATGATTGATTTGTTGAACTGTTTTTTAGTTGATTTTTGTATTAGAATCGGTTCTTAGGTTGATTTGCATGGTAGTTGAATATGAAAGTTGTAGCCTTTTTATGGTTTTGTTGAACATTGTTTTCTTGAATTGGAAAAGGCACCAAGACCTAAGAAAGAGTGTGTTTGTTACTGCATTTTTGTTGAAGTTTCCTCTTTTTTAAGTAAACTATTATTGTTTAGAGTTTCTAGTTCTTAATCCTTTTGATTCATTTCTTTACTTAGGTCAATTAGTGCTCTGGTTAGTGTTTCCTATATACAATTGTTTAAGGTTTTAAATAACGGTCGCTCGGTACAGGTATTGCTACACTGATTGCTTGCAGTCGTCGTAGTGTGATATAACCACAGTTTGTTCTTTATCATAGAAACTGTGAATAATGGTTTTGGTATTGACACCTTCCGATACTGTTTTGTTGCAGCTGTTTTTCGTGGTAACGGGCTTTTGTTTAAACCTTATAAGTATTTCCTACATGTTAGTGAGTTGGAAATAAGATAGAACATTATGATATCGTTTGATCCATGTATCCTATGATGTTTCTGTTGTTGTTGTTGTTGATAAGTATTTGATATTTAGTTGTGCATTGTTATCGATGATCGTATATTTTTGAGATTCTTAATATTGCGCTTTCTATCCAAAGCAGGTGTGTTAATCTTGTGATTTGGAGAAGACTAAGTTAATCATGATAAAGAGGCTTCCGAGTAGTAGGAATCAAAGATCCAAAGGTGTTAAGATAAAGCATGTTCTGCAAGTTATTCTGCTGCTTGGTGTGTGTTTCTGGTTGATCTACCAGGTTAAGCACAATCACGACAAGAAGAAGGAATTTGATAAGAATGATTCAACACTATCATCGGTCAGAACTGAGACGGATAAGGTTGTGAATATCGGTAGAAAGGACCTGAAACCAGTTAAGGATGAAGTAGATCAAAACGGAAAGCACGAAGAAGAGGAAGACGAACCTGTTGTAGAGGATTTGGAAAATAAACGCGAACACGGTGAACAACAAGAAGAAGAAGGGAACAAGCACGAAAGTGAAGTTAACGTGCATGAAGGGAGAGAAGAACAGGATGAAGAAGAGAATAAGCATGGAACAGAAGAACAGGAGGAAGGTGAAAATAAAATCGAAGAGATTGAAGATGAAGGAGGAGATGCTGAGGTAGATGAAAATGATCATGAGAAATCAGATGTTGATAATGATCAAGATGATGATGAGGATGCAGATGAATTGAAAGACAAAGTAGATGATAATGATGAGACGGAGAATGAAGACAAGGAGGACGAGGAAAAGGGGGGTTCGGCTGAAAACGATGAGAGTCATGAAGCTCGGGAGGAACATTACAAGGGGGATGACGCGTCTAGTGCTGTGGCTCATGACACTCAAGCAACTAGCACTGAAACTGAACCGATTAATTTGACACAGGCTGGTCTAAGCGTACAAATGAATATCGAACAACCAGACAACAAGACAACTTTTCATTCTGATGAGAATAACAGGAATGAAAATGATTCTGATTTGAAGGATAGAGAAGGTGAAGCGGCTGATGCAATTTCTTCTAATGTGACTGCCGGTAAAGAGACTGGAAATACCAGTTTGTCTACCGAAACAGCCGAAACAAACGCGGATAGCCACTTCGATGTAAGAAGTAATCTGACAGCAGTGATTACTGAAGCAAGCAGTAACTCAACAGGTGCCGGTGATGACACATCGAGTTCATCTGAACAAATTAAAACAGTTGTCGTATCCAAGTCTGATAATTCTCAAAATGCGACAGCTAATACAACAGTTGCTGGAGATATAAAGCAAACAGAGGGATTAGAGCAGCCTGTCAACAAAACTTCTGAAGGAAACCTGCCTGATAATGATGCAACAGTCTCTGTTAAACCAGATAATCGTGACTCTGCTCCGCAAGAATCTCCTACTCTAGTGGGTAGTGCATTAGAGAAAACAATCGATTTTGCAGCTTCAAATGAAACCGATGACATTTCTGGTAATTTGAATAATAATGCGACCTCTGGTACCACCGAAAGTGACAAGTCCAAAGGTATCACCGAAACTAGTGAAGCAAAAGAAACTAAGAACATCTACGCCACTGTGGATGAGATGTTCAAGGGCAATACTCAAACAGGCGAAACTGATGAAAAATCAGACTCTTCCTCAACCAATGAAATTCTAGACTCAGTTATACACGACGCTATTGATCTTTCTGATACTCAGAACATACACGAGGAGGATATGGCAACGGCTCAAACTGATCTCGATACGTTGCCAGATATTCAAAACGAAGGAAACGATGGCGATGAAAATTCAGCAGAGTGAACAGAAACTTTTGCTTGATTCAAAATTGTATCAAGAGAAGATGTTGAAAGGTACATAAGGTGTATGATTGTGTCTGGGTCTGGATATGTATAATTTATTTGTACTTTCCACTTTTCTGCTACTATTACTTCTTTTATTTTTATGCTAGCTTCTTATTCTTTCATTGACATGTGGCATATTGTTTTTCATAACATTGACATAAAATATTACAACCAACTCAACTAAACATATTGCAGCATATATACACAAGATTCTCCTAATGAAGCATCTGTGCTTATTACAAATAGTTCAAAGTTTAGTTGATTATCCTTATTCTCAAACAGACACACAGCTAAAAGTAGGCACAACAACAAACTCAACACTGACACCACTATATATAGCAGCAATACTTCTTCACGTGTTTCCTTTATCTGCAAAAATACAACTAATTCTCAGTAAGATATCCATAAAAATTTAGCATAACACTTTCTCTCTTCAACAAGTAATTCTAAGCATAATGAAACAAGTACCTTCATGGCAGATTTGAAGCCGGTGCTGCTGATTGTTGATAGAACTGATACGAAGTTTCAAATCTCAAATTACAGCTTGGCCTAACAATTCTAGCACCAATCCTATTACTGCAACATCTCGAAACTTCAACGATGGATGAAATCAAACAATCATCACACTGTGGACCACTCAAATCAGGTGTACACTGAACAAGACCATATATTATGTCACCATTACTAGGACCTGGCAATGTTCCCACAACATACTTACGATTCGAGTCACCTTTTATAGCTTTGTTTTTTAAATCATTCAACAATTGTTTCACAGCAACGTTAAATTGATCTGCCAATGTTGCGTTGTTCATGTTCCATGCAAAATAAGCCGGTCCAATTTCATTTATGTTTAAAATCGAACGGTCGGAATAACGTAGCATGCATTTCTCGTCTTCGTACCATCCAATTGCTTCTTTTTTGTTTGGACATGCTTGTGTGAGATTGGGTTTAGAACCAATGAGACATTTGCGACAATCTTGAGAATTAATGTCTCCTCTACATATTCCTATCAGGTGTATTTTGTTGTTGTTTTCGCCGAAAATGGTATTGGTGAAACCGTTATCAAGTTTTGAGTTGTAAGTGAGACGCGTAAAAGCAATTTTGAGGTTGTTGTCGTAGGTATCACCGGTTATGAAATTACCTCTGTCGTTGTTTTGGTCACAGAAGTAGTGGAATTTTTGGTCGTTGTGGTCGTTGTTGTCTGCTTTGGATTTAGACGTGAGAAGGATAGTGATGAGAAAGAGATTACAGAAAAAGGAAAATGGAGTTAAAGAGAGAGTAGACATGGTTGATTGCAGTTTAGGGAAGAAATTACTCAGATGATGTGCAGGTTTAGATGTAGGGATGGGTTTTATAGGCAAAGATGAAGTAACCTTTATCGGTGAATGGTGATGTTTGATATAACTTGCTAATTGTTTTATAATATTTAAAGATTGAATCCATGAATCCACTACCATGCCAAAAGAAGATGGGGAATTTTTTAAGTTCAAGTTGGGAAAAAAACATCGACCACCACTTATGGTCACTAGTAAAAATTTGTTATCAAAGACTTGAATTGTGAGAGTGTACTCTCCTAAATTCTTAATTCTCATGTTCGAATCTCATCGGAGGATAACAATCATTGTATTAAGTTTATTCATACAGAACTTTATTTTGTTTTCAAATGAATCTCCAACGGTGAGATTGATGTCCTTGGATTAATCGGCTGATTGTCGAATTTTCAAAAATAATACAACAATAATTAAGTCATATTCCACTAAGTAGAATTGACTACGTGAATCAACTTTTGTCATAGTATTTTATCAAAGACAATATTTCTATCTAAATAATTAATTTTAAGATTTTGTTTAATAACCTCTCTTATAGTCTTTTTAGACTTTATTTTTCTTCTAATTGTTTTCAAAAACAATAGAAAATAAATAAATATACCAACTAATTAGAAAATAATATTTAAATATTTTAAAACATTTTTGTCAGAATTTAACGATTCTCTAAAATATAATTTATCTAATAAAAATTAACTAAAACACATAAAATTACCATTACTTCAATTATTATTATAAATCCACTAATTGATGAATCTCTTGTGCGCTTATTTCAAATATTGATCATTCGGAACACACATGCTTCCTATGCTTAGTATGTCAGTATGTAAAGATCAAATATTAGAGACCAGATGGTATGCTGTTGGAAATATGAAAGTGGAAGATGGAAAGTATCTCCCTTGAAAGGAGGAAGTGTAATGACTTAACAAGTATAATTATCATTTAAGGTGATTAATTGAGTCAAGAGCAAATATGAAATAAAATCTATTAAGGAGGGCCTTTTAGTCTTTTCATTAGGGATATAACAGAAAAACAAAGAGGAATTTTTATTTTGCGGTTCATCCGTGTCTTGACTAGAATAATAAAGCTCAATAGCCCACGAGGAAAGGAAAAAGAAGATTGATAAGATTCAAGACTCTTTAAAGAGAAAGCCTCGAAGAATCAAGTGTGAAGTCTTAAGCATCCAACTTGTCTTCTTTGCTCATCATCTAACTGTTGAAATATTAAAATTGACTTAGATTTGATTTATTAGATTTGAGGAAATTTAATATTTAAATATAATCTAAGTTGTGTTAGTTCAAGTCCAATTAAGATTGTGTATAAATAGTGATAATATGTATTTTTATTTTGTATAGTTTATTAAGTGAATAATAGAATTCTCATTTCCTTTATTATTATCTCTTTCTCTCATTATTAAAAATATCTCACGCACTGATAAATTGATATCCAGAGTTTTCGATTATTATTCTTGATCGAGTTTTCAAGAACTTCACGTCAGAGATCGTGTTTTTAGGGCAAGTGAATCAACCGCTGCGAAGATAGCTAGTGATAAGGATATTTCGAATTCTCTTCCAATGCTTGACGACAAAAATTAGAAAAAATAGATGCAATCCTTGTTTGGCTTCCATGAAATCCTAGAAATGGTTACTGATGGTGCTCCTGCGTTGGCTACAATTGCAACTGATGAAAAGAAAAAAAATCCACAACAAAGTCAAGAAGAAAGATTGCAAGGCTGCTTATTGCATTCAGACGACGGTCGGCGTCGCTAATTTTGACAAGATTTCTCATGCAGAAACAACGAAGGAGGCATGTGATATTCTGGTGAAGTATTACGGAGGAGGTGAGAAGGTCAAGGTTGTCAAGTTACAAACCCTGTGTTGACAATATGAGTTGTTGTCGATGGGAGAAGACGAAAGAGTTGAAGAATATGTGTCGAAGGTTCAGAAACTCGTCCATCTCATGAAGGGTTGCGGTGAAACCATAACTGATAAGATGATAGTTGAGAAGATAATGAGAACAGTAACCTCTCACTTTAATCACATTATCGTAGCTATTAAAGATCCAACAAACTTGAAACCCTAAAAGCGGAAGATTTGGTTGGTTCGTTAGAGGTGCATGAGATGAAGATTTTTGAAAGAAAAGGAGTTCAGGATTCGATACAGGTATTGCAAGCTCAATCATGGAAAATGAATGGTGATTCCAACAATTTCAAAGCCAATGTCGACAAGACTCAGGGAAAGAAGTCTTGGTCGTACCCTCACAAGCATCGGGTCGAAGACAAAGCTTCTGAATCCTCGAAAAGAGGAGGAGGAAATTATCTAAAGGACAAAGAAGATAAAAAAGGTGTGCAGTGCTATAACTGTGAAAAGTGGGGTCACGTAGCAAAAAATTATTGGTAAAAAAAAGACAAGAGATCGAAAGGAAAGGACGAAGGAGCGAACCTTGTACGCCAAGGTTCAGATGATTCTGAAGGTGGTAGAGTGATTACGGCTGCAGTTGCAGATAACCATGTCGAATCTAAGATCTGGTTTCTTGACTTAGGTTGCTCGAACCACATGACTGGTCGAAAGGAGTGGTTGGCAGATTTTGACGAGTCGAAGAAAAGTAAGGTAAAACTTGCTGATAATAGTTCGTTGCAAGCAGAAGGTACTGGAAACATAGTCTTTCAAATGAGTAATGGATGGAAATCTATAATCAAAGATGTGCTCTATGTACCTAGAATAAAGTGCAACTTGCTAAGTGTTGGACAACTAGTCGAAAAAGGTTTCTCAATTGTCATGAAAGATGGAGTTTTAAAATTGTTCGACACCAAGAACAATTCGGTCTTAAAATCTCCTCTGTCGAAGGACATGACATTTAAGACCATGATCAGTTCGACTGAAGTATAATGTCTAAAAATTATTGTCGACCACAAGGATAGTTGGTTATGGCACTTAAGGTTTGGACATTTAAATTTTCGATCACTCAATCAGCTGATTACTCAAGATATGGTATGTGGTATCCCTGGAGGTGTGAGAAACATAAGAAATAGGGTTTGAATTGGGTTTCACCAAATAGTAATTTTGAATTTTTTTTGATGATAAAAGACCAAGTTAAACTAGAATATAAAAATAAATGAACACAATTATTTTTATCCTGGTTCACTATTAACGAAGCTACTCCATTCCACCCCTCAAGGTGATTTCTCCTTCAGCAAGGACTTAATCCACTATAACCAAACTAATTACAGATAACCTACAATAAGTCAGATCAATCTTATTGGAACCTCTAATAAGTCAGTCGGTCCTTATTGCAAATCCACTCAAGCCGCATCAGGAGTCTTCTTGATATCAGACTTTCACTCGGTCTCTCAAGGTATCAATCAACACCAGTTGAATACGTTTAGTGTATTACATATTGCATCTTGTAATCAGATTACATAGACGTTTCAGTATAAAGAAAACACCTAAGTGTTTTACAGCAAGATACGAGCAACAACTCATTGTCTATTTACAAAACTATACACAAAAGATTTTCTTTAAAGAGTTTCCACAATGCTTTGATGTAGTTTTGCTTGAGCTTGATTTAATCCGATATATTTTATGAAATGTTGATTCTTACTTTTCTTCAGCTTCCAAGTCTTCCTTTTATATCTTGTAAAAGAGATCCATTGAAGGGGTAGAAAGGTAATCATAAATCCAACTATTTGTTCTCAACGGTCATAATGAGAGTCCTCACAGTATAGTACAAAAAACGACCGTCCTTACGCCACCCTAGAGAGTAGAGGTCACAGACACTTTATGTACCTTTTGTACACCATCACACATTAACCATTTTGAACTTCTTTTTATCTTCAGAAGCTTCAGATAATTTGAATGTTGAAGCTTATTATAGAAGAATCACTCTTTAAGTCTTAGAACCTAAGTCTTTGGTCTTCAGAACTTGTCTTTATCAGAACCTTGTCTTCAGAGTCTTCAGCACTTGGTCGTAAGAACTTGCTTGTCTTCAGATCATCAAAACTTGTTCAACATAATCTCATCTTCATAATCTTCAAAACTTTGTAACACACCAAAGTAAAGCTTTAGAAGGCCTTCAAAGCTTAGCCATAAAGTCACGATCAGAACCTCTTGTACTAACGTTCCTAAGACGCGTTACATAATACATATTCAGAATCTTGACTTTAATTGTAACATGTAACCACATGTTTTATTTCAGTAGTGTATATTCAGAACCTGATGATGTCACACGTCTTGATACTAGAGTCAGAACATTATAACAACAACTACACACTAGAACAAACCATTAGAGTATACAATTATTCTTAAAGATAACATGTAAAGTTATCATCAAAATCTTAAGGCCAGATGTAGAAACACTTCTTTTTCTTACAATCTCCCCCTTTTTGATGATGACAAAACCATGTATTTTGATAGAACAATTTATACCTGGTAATCACCGTAACCGACAAATTCAGAGTTAAGCTCACATCTCCCCCTGAATATGTTAATCCCAAAATTTTATTTAAGCTTGTTCAGAGTCTCCCCCTGAGCCCAAGACTCACAAAATAAATTTTGATTTTTCAAAACATAGAAAAAGAGAAGTAACACTTCTCTACAACAACTCATCAGTGTCTGACTAGAGCACCTGGTCTTCATCTCAAAATGTGGTTACTATCAGCACTTGATGAATAATTAAAACTTGTTTTGAGCCTGATTGAATAATGCCACACATTATGTATCAGCGCTTCTATTTTATGATTCTGATATCACAACCAAAACACTATACTTCTGGAGAAGTTCACAACTTCTTAAATATCATCGTTTGACTTGATATTTCCCAAAATATCAATCATTCAGACATTTCACAACTTCTGAATAGAATGTTTGTTCTGGAAGTACACGTATCAAAGTACAACTTCTGAGTGGCATCTTTGTATGAGAGCATGCATCAGAATGTTGACTTGTCTTCCTTTTAGGTGAACA